CAAACTAGTTTGCAAAGTTACTGGTTTGGAGCTATGGAGTATTTAAAAAATAATTTGTCGAAGAGTGCAAAGACCAAAAAGAAGCCTGAGTTCTTGCCCCAGTACTGCTTTTATATGTATGACTTTGGGCAAACTGCTTTATTCCTCTTATTCTCAATTTTTGTTTTACATATTTCAAAGGGGGGTGGAATAAATGATTGCCAAGAGCTTTTCAGCTGTAATATTGAGAGATTTTGATTTAGTTATATTGGTTAGTTTTGGTTTTGATCATTCCCTGGCCTCCTCAAACCACTAATTGCTAGGCTGTGTTGAAAAAAGAAAACGAAGAAAAATAAATACATTTCCATGTAGTATTTTTTAATACATTAAAACCTTCCTGATACCATGTTATGATTGTTCAAAATTTAGATTTCCATGTAAAGAATTACCCATTAGTCTTAAGATGAATTTCATTTTTTGAATCTTTTACCCCAACTTTTTATTTTGAAAAATGTTAAACTTACAGAATAGCTATATGAATAATGTAATAAATTGCCATATACCATTTACCTAAATCCTCAGATTGTTAGCATTTCACTGTTTTTTTCTCTATCTAAACATACACACATGTATATATGTGCGTGCGCGCACACACACACACACGCACAACCTTCTCCTAAATCATTTTAAAGTAAATGGCAGATATCATGATATTTTAGCATTTCTCTCCTAAGAACATGAGCATTCTATAAAACTACAATACTGTTACTACAAATGAGAATACTGTCATTGATACAATAATATTATCTAATATGTAGTCTATATTCAGATTTCCCCAGTATCATAAAAATATTCTTTAACTTTTATGGGTTTCATTGTTTTATTTTTATACACAATATGGGCAGCAGGCCTAAACTGCAACGTAATTTTCAGAGAGTTGTACAGTTGACTAGGCTAGAGGTTCTTCTGCCCAGGACAGTTCTAGTTAAGGAAAGATTAATGAACTGTTCTTAGCCCTTTCTGCTTTTGTGTTTTTATTTGCTTTCATTTTCCTGTTCAACTTCTAAATCTGGTTAATGTAGAAAGCCTATGTCGAGCTCCTGAAATTTCAAAAATATTCAAACCCATATGTCAAATTAGGAAAAAAAATATATAATGAATAGTGATATATTATCAACCTAGATTCAGCAGTTATTAAGTTCTCCCACATTTGCTTTGTCCGTTCCATTTGTGGCCCTCTCCCCTCCCCCTGTAATTATAAAAATGAATTTTAGAATACATGAGAATGTGTAATTCTCAGAAACTGTATAGCTAAATAAGGTTTTTGTAAGTGACTAATTAAAGGATCGAATAAAAATCAGTCTAGTCTCGAATTTATTAGGTTACCATGGCCGGGGGAATATTTTTTAACTTTCCAGTGTTTGTTTTGTTCTTGAGTTTTAAAAAAACATTTAAATGGGCTGGGCGCGGTGGCTCAAGCCTGTAATCCCAGCACTTTGGGAGGCCGAGGCAGGTGGATCAGCAGGTCAAGAGATTGAGACCATCCTGGTCAACATGGTGAAACCCTGTCTCTACTAAAAATACAAAAAATTAGCTGGGCATGGTGGCACATGCCTGTAATCCCAGCTACTCAGGAGGCTGAGGCAGGAGAATTGCCTGAACCCAGGAGGCAGAGGTTGTGGTGAGCCGAGACCATTGCACTCTAGCCTGGGTAACAAGAGCGAAACTCCGTCTCAAAAAAAAAAAAAAAATTAAATGGTATATAATGGGGAATTATAGGGGGATTCTTTTTCTTTTTTGGAATTTTACTGCTTAATGTATTTATTTTTAATAGTGGTATACTCAATACATATTTACTCACTTACTGATGAGAACTGTGAAAAGATGTTAAGAGAGAGAGGCTATGGTCCCGTGCTTTGGAAAAATGTGACCTTCCTATAAATGAAGGTATTGGAAGGAAAAGTTGAAAGTTGCTAAAAAAAATAAGTAAAATGAACTATTCTTTTTGCAGGTCAGTTTATGATATTGTTAGGCTTGTTAAACCAAGGAAATGGGGGGTTACGTTTGTTCAGTGCTTCTGCCAAACCTACTCCCCACCCTGACTGCGACTCCTTCCTGCACCAATAAACAGAGGCTAGGAATTAGAGATTTGTGTCAGAGGCTGACTCAGGAGGAGTCATTGCTCTGCCTCACATACTGGTAGTTCAGTTCCATTAAATTTTGGGGGTTGGGGAAAGGAGATACAGAGAGAAATAAGTCTTTCTTTAATTTAAATACAATCTTGTAGTAGAAAATATGGCTATACTTTTTTTTTTGAGACAGAGTCTCATTTTGTCACCAGGTGCCAGGCTGGAGTGCAGTGGCACAATCTTGGCTCACTGCAACCTCCACCTCCCGGGTTAAAGCAATTCTCTTGCCCCAGCCTCCCAAGCAACTGGGACTACAGGTGCATGCCACCATGCCCAGGTAATTTTTGTATTTAGTAGAGACAGGTTTCACCATGTTGGCCAGGATGATCTCCATCTTTTGACCTCATGATCTGCCCACCTCAGCCTCCCAAAGTGCTGGGATTACAGGCTTGAACCTCCACACCCAGCAAGGGTTATACTTTTAATGCTGGGCTGAAGTAGCCAAGGCAAAGGGGTGAAATATTTGACTTGAGATTTGGGGGCTTGGCTTTAAGCTACTTCCTTCATAGCTGTTAAATTTTGTGATATTATTTGAACAAATTCTTCAATCTTTCCTTTTCCCATTGTAACTTGGAAATAATTGTGCCTTTTCTTCCTCGTAGAATATTGAAAAATAAATGCGGTATTAAAAACAGCAACTTGAGATTCTTTTTTCAAGTAGAGAGATCATTTATGTGCCTTTCAAAAAAGCTTTAGTGACATGGTGCATTCAGAATATGGAGTACTCACAGATTGAACCTGGAGTTGCAGGTCATTTTTCTCTTTTAAGAGAGTGACCATTTTTTCCTCTAGCTCCTTCCTTTTTGCTTCTGACTTGGCAAGTTCATCTTTCGTTTTCTGGAATTCTTCCTTCATGGTGGCCATCTCTTTCTCAGTCTCTGCACTCTTGAGGAGGGGCTTAATCTTGAAGAAGAGTTTCATCCAGGGCCAGTGCTTGACATTCATGAAGGCACGGACATTATACTGGATGCAGAAAAGTGCTTCTCTGCAATGACGTGAAAATATCAGTGTAGACTGATCCATCAGAGGCAATGTTATTGATACTTATCACGTACAAATTTCCCTTTTAATGAATGTCCCCAACAAATAAGTATGTCACATTCTCTATATATTATATGCAGGCTTTACACACACACACACACATACACACATTCTCACGCTCACACTCATAGTAGCCCTCAGTATTACCCCTTTGCTAATATGAGTACTATTCATATTGAGCAGATATTCTATGTTCTCAATCCCTATCAAACTAGCAAAGAAAGTGACTTTTGGGGTGAAAACTTTGAATGTATAAGCAGCACATACCATCTGACGTATTACAGTACTAGTGATTTGAGGGTGGGCGTGGTAATTGCATGTTGATTGTGCTGCATATCTGTGGGCATAGGGATGTGAACTGTGAAATGGCATAGGTTGCTTTCTGAATTGCCCACCTAAACTGAGCTGATTTGTCATCTCTTCCTTGAAGTTGCTCCTCTTATTTTGAATAACACTGGATTATTCACTCTATAAACTTTCTTTGCTAGCTTCTTCAGATAATATACTAGCTTATCTTAAATTCTTTCAAGTGCCTCAGTCTTAACTGCTTAATTGGATTGTTTTTTATTATTTTTTTGAGATGGAGTTTCACTCTTGTTACCCAGGCTGGAGTGCAATGGCACTATCTCGGCTCACTGCAACCTCTGCCTCCTGGGTTCAAGTAATTCTCCTGCCTCAGCCTCTGGAGTAGTGGGAACTATAGGTGTGCTCCACCATGCCCAGCTAATTTTTGTATTTTTAGTAGAGATGGGGTTTCACCATGTTGACCAGGATGGTCTTGATATCTTAACCTTGTGATCCACCTGCCTCGGCCTCCCAAAGTGCTGGGATTACAGGTGTGAGCCACCGAGCCCAGCCTTAATTGGATTGTTAATGTTTGCAAGGCATTCAGCATCTGTTGTGCTCCAAAATTTATTTTATTTAAATAAAGTGAAAAATAGTAATAAAAGATACCCCTTCTGCAAACTATAGCCATAGACTGGCTAGGTTTGACTACCTTGTAGCAACGTGTATGTTTCTTAAAGCTCATTAAAATGGAAATTCTATCTCTATAGGTCCAATTTTTAAGACCTGTAACTCTGTGAAGGCAGGTACCTTGACACAACCATAATGTCCACACATGGGGAAGACTCAGGAACACTTCCAGTGCAGGCCTAAATTAGTACAAATAAGGAAAATGAATGCACAGTGTGTGTGTAAGTAGAGGGAATGCAGTAGTGTTGGGTGACCAGATAAACTAGGTGTGGTTAGTTACAGAAAGGGGAAATGGAAGTTTTAAATTGGTAAATAGATAAATTAGGATGAGGGGGGAGAGGAGATAAGGAGATAAGCAAATGAGAGAATAGTAGATAAGCAAATTTTTAGCCTGGCTGGAAAAGGCTATTTGTTTGGAAATGATAGATGAGGTGGGGAATAGAGAGGGCCTTGACAGGCAAGCAAGGCAACTGGCATGATGAAAATTATGCTTACTGCAAACTATTCCTGCTGCTGTATGTGAGATGGCTGGAGGTAGGAGAGACGTTTTGAAGGGAATCCGAGTGTGAGAGCTGAAGCAAAGGCTGCTGTATTGTAGGAGTGAGTTGGGTGAGAGGAATATTAGCCACAAAATGAAATAATTAATGAATGAGAAGACTGATTGATAGTCCTTAAGGGACCTTGTAATTCTAATATGTATGGTTGTTACCTCCTTTGCAACATCTTCTGATATTCTACCCTCATTAGGAATCCCCTACAGACAGCTTGTGTTCTTGTTATAATCTGGGCCAATTTGTCATCTCTCATTTCTTCCAGAAGACCCAGAAGGCCAGCTTTGAAGAAAACCTGGAGAAAGAGAGAGTCACAAATCATCCCCTGACTGCAGGAGACACAGAAATGGCAGAAGGTACTTGGATCAGGTGTAAATAAATAACACTATACCTTGGTATGTCCAAATTTGTACTGAGTATGATCAATATCAATAGATGCAAGAAGTTTCTCAGAAGCCTTCTTGCTGTCAATGAACTGTCCCTCTGGAATAGCACTTGCATTTAAAACCTTGTATCTGCACAGTGAAACAAAGAATGGTTAGGAAAATGTGACCACATGTCAACCAAATGACACCAAAAAGAAAAGCCAACAAAAATCTGAGAGTAGAGGTAAAAGTAGAAAGTCCAACTGTCCTTTAAGGTCAGAGAGTAAAACAATATGATTTTCTGTGGCATGCCTGCTTCCTGTTATTCTTCTAACCTGTTGTAGTATCCTACTACCTAACAAGACTATATTATTCAACTTCTTAATTTTTTAATATATACTAAGGATATGTGAAATAAAATGAAGAGGACAACAATTAAGGTGGTAAAATATTCACAGTATTAATGAAATACAACAAAGAAGACTGACCTTTGTTTGAAATCGCCATATAAGATTCTGCTTGGGAATCCTTTCCTGCAGATGCGGATGCCTTCCAGCACACCGTTACACCTCAGCTGGTGCAGGACAAGTTCATGTTCCATTGCCCCTAAAAATAAAGCAGAGTACTTATTACTGGGCATTTAGTTTTCAAACCTGTGCCTGTTTAATTATTTCACTCTCTGTATCTTACCAGGAGTTTTGGTTTCATTGGGAATGATACACCGTACGAAGTGAGGGTGTGTGCTCCTCAGATTCGTCATCAATTTATTTAAATTTTCCTAGAAAACCAAACAAAGAATTTTATGAAAAAGTTCTATTTCAGGTTGTTTTTTGTAATTATGTGAAATGAACCTAGATAGTCTTTTAACTATGAGGTGTGAGTCTGTAAGGCTTCCGTTGCTCTGTATGTTGAAGGTCTCAAGAGTTCTAGCCTGCCAAATAACAAAAAGGCAGAAGTGCTTGGAAGGAATGCACATCTCCAAGGTATTCATTTGTAACACCAGGGATCTGTTTCATAAACAAACTGCAATTCAGTAACATTGTGATGTACAAGGAAGGGTTCTCAACCGAGAATCACAAGACAGAGATTATGGTCTTGCTATACCACTAATGAGCTGCCTGACTATAAAATCCTTTTTCTTTCTCTGGGCACCATCTGAAAATGGTTGAGATTGTTTGTGAGCTCTCTTTTGTCTCTCTTGGTGCTAATAATTTTCACAATAGCAGTTTACAGTGGTAACCTAAGTTAGGAATTATACTGACTTTTGCTTTTTCTTCCTTGAGTGTATTATTCCCAGGGACCTCTTAATGTCTTGTGTGTGTGTGTGTGTGTGTGTGTGTGTGTGTGTGTGTGTGTTTCCTACATCTCAGTTAACCATTAGGAAATTAAGAAAATAAGTAATGTGAGTTCCTAATTTTGAAAACATGTATGAAAACAAGTTGATGAGGCAAAAGTCTATTTGGTAAGATAATGCAAATTGGTAGTGAGAAAGAAAAGGAACAAGAGTTGTTTTCTTGTTTAGGTCATAGGTCGTATGTCATGTCTGTATTTTAGTTTTATAGGGAGTGAGACTTAGCCATACCCATTTTGATTAAAAAGCCATTATTAGTCCAGATATAAGAGCCAGCTTTTAAGCTACATAGGAAAATGACATTATTTTGTAGTGAAATTATTATTCTTTAATCTCAAGAGATATTTCGTATCTTAATGATCCATTTAAATCACTGGGCTTGGCTTTAGATGATTTTCAACTGTAACGAAAAATTTAATTCACCTCAGAGGACAAAGATATGTTTAGGTGAAAGATGTCATAAAGAGTATATCTGAGGCTCATTCTCAAAGAGGAACTCAGGGACATTTTCAAAGGGCAACATTAGTGGAATAAGAATATGGCGTTCCACAGGGACAGCTTTGAAGTTTAACTATACTTCTTTAGAAATCAACCTCATTATATAATAAGAACGTTTCTAAGGACATTTTGGCAATCCTGAATACATTAGATAATCATAATAAGGAATAATGGGTAGAGCATCTATTCCTACAGGAGTAGTATTTCTTGGGCTATATTCTAACGAGAGTGGATATTTGAAGTGATTCCTATTAACATTTTATTCTCTCATAATTTATTCAAAATCCTTAATTATAATAATTCATAGAAACTGAATAGATATTAAATATGTACTTTACCCTGAAAAGGGCAGACACAGTCTGGAAAGAAGAGCCCTTTTTCTTCATACCTTTCTTCGTGTTGCTATCTTAGGTAAAAAGAAAACCCATCAATAAGAATAGAATACCAGAAGCTTATGTGAACATATATTATAACATTCTGTGAGAGTGGGCCTAATTTAGATTAAGGACACTGAAAGTACCTGCTTCAGCACTAGCATATGTGGAGAAGAGACTGGCTAGAGTCTTCATTGCAGACTTCTGGTACAGCCCAACCACAGTGTCATTCAGGGGATCCTTGTTTTTGTCCAGCCAGCCAGTAATGTTGTAGTCCACAGTGCCAGCATAGTGAATCAGAGAGAAGTGGGCCTCGGCCTTGCCTTTGACCACCTTGGGTTTCTGGAAGTTGGCTGACTTGCCCAGATGCTGGTCATACAGCTTGTTCTTGAAGGAGGTGTCTGTTGCCTTAGGGAACATGCACTCCTCTTCCAGGATGGAGAAGATGCCCAGTGGCTGAATTCAGAAAAGTAACATTGGTGTCAACCTAAGTTCTCTCAAAAGGTAGAGACATGGTGGCTGTCATTTGATTGAATTATGAGCACCTCCACTTAAATATATATATGACATAAACCAGGATCACAGTTCAAAGAAGTCCCTTGTTATCACTAGAATGACTTTTCCACCATTCTTCTCATATTCATTCTGTAGCATTGCTTTCAATTAAAAGAATAGCTGGATACAAATGTCCTCAGCACAGCATGTTAAAATGTTACCACACTTTTTTCCTATTCAGAGAATAAATCTATTGTCAGAGTTTTTCTTCTCTATGAAAAGCACTTACTGACTTGTGATCTATGCAGTAAACAGCATAAACAGCCAAATTTTATTTAAAATATTTTGGGTATTTAATTTCGTTAAAATAGATTATAGGCCGAGCACAGTGGCTCATGCCTATAATCCCAACACTTTGGGAGGCCAAGACAGGAGGATCACTTGAACCCAGGAGTTCGACACCATCTTGGGCAACATGACAAAACACTTTATCTACAAAAAATACAAAAATTAGCCAAGCATAGTGGCACACGTCTGTGGTCCTAGCTACTCAGGAGGCTGAGGAAGGAGGAGCACTTGAGCCTGAGGTCGAGGCTGCAGTGAGCTGTGATCACACCACTGTACTTCAGCCTGGGTGACAGAGTGAGACCCTGTCTCAAAAAATAAATAAAATAGATTATGAAGTAGCATATGCAGTTTGACTTCTTGACTTTGAACAGATTAGCTTTCATGAAAGCACTAAGTCTATCGTGTGCATTAATTTTTATGTGAAAAATGTTTTTATTGTGGACGTCATGGATCATAATGGAGACAGATCAAGAACTGATGAGGATAGCAGTTGTAGTGAAGCAGACCATCTCAAACAGAGTTTTCAGTGCTGCGTTAAAGTTGGATCTGTTCCATAAGAATGGTTGGAACAAAACAGAGGTAAACACTGTCAGATCTTTCTCATGTAAAAGTTAAAAAGAGGAAGTCATTTCAAAACAGTGATTTTCTAATTTGTTCAGATCACAAACCATTTGAGATTATAGTAATACTTTCTAGAATTGCTTGAGATTTCTGGGAAAGGTATTCTCGCAGTCTGCCCTTCTTTGTAAAGCAAACTGACCTTCTCAATGAGCTCGATGCAGGCAGCCAGGTCCATCCCAAAGTCAATAAATGTCCACTCGATGCCTTCCTTCTTGTACTCCTCCTGCTCCAGTACAAACATGTGGTGGTTGAAAAACTGTTGCAGTTTCTCATTGGTGAAGTTGATGCATAGCTGCTCCAGGCTGTTGAACTACACAAAATAATAGAGATTTCCAACATCAAATGAGTTGTTATAGTAGTAAAAGTTATTACTGAAAAATTTTTTTATTAAAAAATGTAGAATGTAGTAATGAGATAAAGTTCAAACTAACCGTTGTTCCTTCAAAAAATGATCATTATTCACATGAGCCTTTCTCATGAATTCCAGGCATTGTTTAGGGTCCCAGATTTCAATATTACAAGAGTTCTGGAAGAATTTACCTTTTGTCCTCTAAGATTATATAGGCAAGAGTATACCTTAAAAGAGCAACCATGGTCCTGTGTATTATGGTTTAGATTCAAAGGTAGAGGGGAAAGGAGTTTATTGGAAAGCCTCACTTCTTTTTCCAGTCCCACTCTCCAATTCAAAATAAAGTTCACATTTTCACCTTTGGCTGTAATGTAATTAAGGAAAGCTGATCTTAAGATCTTTAATATAAAGGTCTTGACATATAAAGTGAAATCATTGGGCTAATCTTCTATTCATATCAGACATTTAGCAAATCCCCCGTGTTAGGTGTGTGAAAGCAGGGACCTGATATAACGATTGAAGATCCAGAAGAGTCTTTGTAATATATTACTTCTTTATTTTATGTATGGTGAAACTGATGCTCTGGAGGTGAAATAGTTTGTGTAAAATGAATCTGGAAGAGGAGAGACTATCATCTGTCTCTATGCTTCCACCTTTCGGCCTCTTCTCCTCTATGAAAAAGCCTTGTGTATGGACCAAATGCTATAGATCTGGGTTGCTATTCTGATTTGTCTTTTGCAACTGTGGGATCTTCAGCTACTGCTTTGATTTCCCTGCATCTCAGTTTCTTCTGTATAAGTTGGGGGAATATTAGCTACTACTTCTTGGCTTGTTTTGAAGATTAAATGAGGTAACATTTTGAAGTCCCTAGGATACACTGATGGCTCAGTGATTGTTAGCTATCATTATTAGTAAATTATGTTACCTCCTATTTTGGAGATAACCCTTGTTCTAG